CTCCTGGCAGCAGAACTGCCTCAACTGCTGGCTCTGCACCTCTGAGCAGAGAGTGTCCTCCTCACCCAGGATCTTCTGCACTGGGTTTTCCCAGAATCCCCCACTGCTCCCAGTTTGGCTGGCATGGCCTCTTCCTGATTCAGGGCCAGCTGAGTCTCGCTCATCCATCTGAGCTCTCAGAAAGCCTCTGGGAGATCAGAATAAATCCTTTGGTCTTCTGATAACTTCTGTCTGTCGTAATGAAAAGCTCAAGGGAATCCTACAAAGCAAATACATTGTTCTGTTACAGAATTTTTAGGGGGGGGGTGATTCCCTGAGCAAGCATGGATGAGTCTTGCTGGGAACCAGGGCTGGACTGCACTGCATCCCAAACCATGAGCTATATTTTTGAAAAGAGCAGGAAGAGGAGCCTTTTAGCAATGCAAAATGTGGAGGCAACAGAAGGGATTTCTGGGAGATTAATCAACCTGGTTTCTGCTGCCTTCCAGTCAATGCATAAAGTCTGAACCAACAGACAAAAGAATCGTTTGTATGGATGCTTGGGGGTCCTCACCCCGGGGTCCTCAGGAGTTCCTTCCCACCCCCACTCCCCTGCTTCTGTCTCCTTTTCTTGCACTTGGACTCTATGCCACTCTCCAGACAGACTCCTGGGGTGGGGTCCCTTTTTCTTTGCTCTGAGGGCCAGGTATGTATCTGATCAACCCCCTGAGGGCTGTTGGCAGGGCCAAACACATCTCCCTTGATATTTAGGTGGATAATTCATTATTATTATTAATATTCTGCTGCAGTGGCCTCCGTGGGGAGCTGCCCTTGGAGACGACTGTGAAAGTGGTCTGCAATGCAGCCAGACTGGGGGGGGGGGCAGTGGCGTAGCGTGGGTTGTCAGCACCCGGGGTAAGGCAAGTAATTTGCGCCCCTTAACTCGTGGATTTGCGCCCCCTAACCCTAACCCCCAGATGTTGCGCCCGGTGCGGCCGGCCCCCCCTGCACCCCCACGCTACGCCACTGGGGGGGGCTAGTCCACCTCCTCGTCCAGCTTTGGAAAACCATTTGCACATGTTTCCTCTGTTGTGCAATGAGGCTGAGCGATGTCACACAGAGTTAAAGTCCCAGGGACTCCTTTGTTTAAAGAAGGGAGATTTTTTCTGAAAGGGGGGGGCAGATGAGTTTGGGATCCTCTTATCTCCAGGAAGGAAAGCGTGGCAGACCTGGCCCCTCCCGGATCAGGCCCCCCAGGCATCCTCCCCTGCTGCAGCCCTGGGACCCCCCCCCCCGTCTCCCCACTGCACCCTCTGGGGGGAGAGAGAGGAGACTCACCAGATCCCAGGAGGGGACAGCGAGGCAGCCCTTGCAGGAGAGACCCCAAAGCAAGGAAACGACTGGGGAGGGAGGGGCCTTGGCTCTGGAGGACCTGGCCCCCCCTTGCTTCCTTTCCTCTCTAGGAAGGCAGCTCACTTCCCTTTAACCCTTGCCAAGCCGAGTCCCTCCAGCTCAGCCCTCTCTCGCTTGGCAGAACCTCGGATTCTTATTATTTTTTATGGATTTAGGGGGGCAGCTGCCCCCCTGGCTACGCCAATGCCCAGATATCCTTTTGGGGTGAGGCTCTTGGCTGGACTCTGAGCATCTCCCTCCCTTGGCCAGAAACCAGAGGAAGAGCTTACAGGGAAAAGGGCTTTGCAGGAGGCAAGGAAGCTCCTCCTAGAATTCAGGAGTGGAGAGATAGGATGGGATCCCAGGGTCATCTAGTCCAACCCCCAGCAATGCAGGAATCTCAGCTAAAGCATCCATGGCAGATGGCCGTCCGATCTCTGCTTAGAAACCTCCAAGGAAGGAGAGTCCACCACCTCCCAAGGGAGACCTTTCCCCTGCCCAACTGCTCTTAGATGTCCCTCAAGGCAGCGGGTCCTGAGTTCTAGCCCTGCTGAAACAATCGCACTGGCTGCCAAGGAGGAATCCAGTGAAGTTCAAAATAAATTAATCCTATTCTCATCATAAATGAGTAATACTTTCTCATGCATGCTTTTTAGGCTAATAAAAAAGTATGCCATTTCCCTTTCCAGAAATGCTTAATTGCTAATTCAATGGACTGAATATGGATTGTTGTTATTTTTATGTTTAGGGAAGTTTTAATATTTGATGGACTATTGTATTTTAATATTTTGTTGGAAGCCGCCCAGAGTGGCTGGGGAAACCCAGCCAGATGGGCGGGGTATAAATATTATATATTATTATTATTATTATTATTATTATTATTATTATTTAAATTGATCAGGTGAGTTTTCTCCTTTCGAAAGAGGCAGGTGGAATCTCCACGGTTGCTAATAGCATAAAATTGAAAGGCTAGTGAAATATGGGGAGCCCTAGAGCATCTGCTTGGCATGCAGAATGTCCCAGTAAGTGTAGACCAGGGGTCCTCAAACTATGTCCCGTGAGCCAAATCCAGCCTGCCAGGGTCCTGAATCTGGCCTGCACGGCCATTTCAGAACCTGCCAAGTGTCCGAGGCTGAAAGCATCTCGCCGCCCGCTCAGTCTGTCCTTGCGTCCCCCTGATGTAAACGCCACAGGCGTGGTGGCGGCTCTACCAATGAAAGGCCAGGGATTTTCACCCGGGGACGGGGAAGTGTTGTCTTTTGGCTTGAAGAGCGAAGCTTGAGGTTGGTGGAGGAAGGCAGACTTGGATCAATTCGGTTTCTTTACGTTTACTTTGAAGGTGGGAGAAGGAAGTATAGTCCTATTTCGATGAGTAGCGCAGCGGTCTTTCCACTCCTGTGAATTACATGCTCTGAAAGTTGGGATCTATTTTGATATTTAAATTTTAAAAGGGTGGAATGGAACTGGATATTGACCATCTCCTTAGCATGGGGAGCCACGTTCTGGTTGGAGGAGGCCAGGATTTGCCCCCAAGGCCTGGGGTGTCCCTCCTCCCCTGCAGTAGGACTTGGAATCCAGGAGAAAACTTTTGGAATAGCCTTGCCAGGTGCTCAGGGACGGACTCACCTGTCCACCTGTCCTTCTCTTTGCAGATGTGCTGCGAACAGTGTTAAAATGTCACATCAAGCTTTATTTACAGCGGAAAATAACAAAGAAACATGGCGTGAGCTGTCTTCCACAGCCGTCTCCTCCTCGGTCAGAGTAAAAGAAAACAAAGGATGAAAGCAATTTACAGACTGACTTCCATTCTTACACAGACAGTACAGAAGGTGTAAACATGGATATCATGTTACACTAGCAATGGGAGAATGAAATACTGACAGTTTGGCCCCCAGTTTGGTCCAAGACCAAAGCTGGCATCCCTCATGGTCCAGGAGTGCCAGGGACTCCGTGGTGGGGGCATGGGGGCCGCTTTGGCCCAGACTGGCCCCTGACTCCGAGACGCTCTTTGTGCCTGTGTTCCTAATAGATAACTAAGTGTGAAGAGCATGTCATGTGCTTCAGCAACAGCCCTCCTGGAAATAAGGAAATGCAACCCCCATTGCTGGTTGACTCAAAAAAGCAACAAGGGAATCTGCTCTGGTGTCCCATGAGGTCTGTGGGGCCCTTAAGTAAGAGGAGCCACTTTTCATAACTGAATTAAAGAAATTTTAACATAATCAAACATTCAAATTTCATTTTACAATTTCAATTAACACCCCCCCCCCGCCATGCGAATTCCCCCAACTTCCCTTCCTGGTTTATAACACCTCTGTTTCTTTTGCTTATAAATTTGTATTCCTTATATATTAAAATTAAGTGTTCTTTCGCTGGTATTTCATCGCCTTTCCATCTTTGAGCTAGTAAAATTCTGGCTGCTGCTGTCGCATACATGAATAGATTTTTCTTATGTTTTGGTAAATCCTGCCCTAAAAAACCTAATACAAACGCTTCTGGTCTTTTAACAAAGGCTATCTTAAACCTTTTTTTTCATTCTGAAGAAGTGTGGATGCACACGAAAGCTCATACCAAGAACTAACTTAGTTGGTCTTTAAGGTGCTACTAGAAGGAATTTTTTTATTTTGACTATGGCAGACCAACACGGCTACCTGTAACTTTTTTTTCATTTCATTATAGATCATCTCCCAATAGGTGGAGCCAGGTGGCCCAGGTCCGGGGTGGGTGGGGTTGCTATGGTGACAAGGACCACAGACTTGCAGACGGCCATTTTGGGTTAGTAGTGGGGCGAGTGGAGGAGAGAGCAGTTGGTGGCAGTTGATAGAGGACAAGGCGAGGCAATCAGTGGATTCCTATTGTCTCAGTTTCTTATTTCGCTACTCATTGTTTTTCTCTTCTTGAAGATGTGCCACAGGCTTTCTTCATCCAGCAATGGTGAGTATTGGAGGAAACAAGAGTAGGGAGAGGATCCCTCAGACCTTCCTCCCGCTGCCAGGGCTCTTTGCCCCCCACTCTGCACTCTCAGCAGTGAGGAACTGAAGCCCTCCGCTGTCCCGGGGTTTTTTAAAATGCTGGGGGTGGGAAGAAAAGCCCTTGTCCCCCCCCAGCCTTCAGAAGAGGTCGGGGGACAGACTGTCCCCGGACCTGGTCTGAAGTCGGTTTCCCTAGGAACGCATTAATTGATTTTCAATGCATTCCTATGGGAAACCGTGCATCGCAAGACGAAAAACTCGCAAGAAGAAGAAACTTGCGGAACGAATTAATTTCGTCTTGCGAGGCACCACTGTATTTTGTTTTCTTCGTGACCTTTGTGAGTTTATTTTTTTATTTTTTAAGAGGGCAAATTGAAAGAGAAATTGTATGGCAAGTTGCAGAAGAATAAAAGGTTGTGTTTGAAAAAAAACACACCAAAAACTGGGGGGTGGCATCCTTAAATATTTTATTGGGGGTGGGGCAAAGACCCCTAGGCCCCTATTCCCTACACCCAGGTCTCAGGATGGTTACAACATAAAAAAACCAAGAAACAAAAAAACACACCACATATTAAAAGGCATTAGATGTCAATCAGCCAAAAGCCTGGTTAAAAAGGCGCGTCTGCCTGGTTCCTAAAGCTGTATAATGGTTTTTCTGACCATTGTATGGATTCTTTGATGGGAAGTAAGATTGGCCCTCTGACTGAAGCTCTTTCCACATTCCACGCACTGATAGGGTTTCTCCCCTGTATGAATTCTGTGATGGGAAGTGAGAGAGGAGCTACATGTGAAGCTCTTTCCACATTCCACACACTGATAGGGTTTCTCCCCTGTATGAATTCTTTGATGGGAAGTGAGAGAGGAGCTATTTCTGAAGCTCTTTCCACATTCCATGCACTGATAGGGTTTCTCCCCTGTATGAATTCTTTGATGGGAAGTAAGGGAGGAGCTCTTCCTGAAGTTCTTTCCACATTCCACGCACTGATAGGGTTTCTCCCCTGTATGAATTGTTTGATGGAAAGTGAGACTGTGGCTGTGAGTGAAGCTCTTCCCACATTCCACACACTTATAGGGTTTCTCCCCTGTATGAATTCTTTGATGGGAAGTAAGAGAGGAGCTCTTCCTGAATCTCCTTCCACATTCCACACACTGATAGGGTTTCTCCCCTGTATGAATTGTTTGATGGAAAGTGAGGCTGTGGTTGTGACTAAAGCTCTTTCCACATTCCACACACTTATAGGGTTTCTCCCCTGTATGAATTCTTTGATGGGAAGTGAGAGAGGAGCTTTCAGTGAAGCTCTTTCCACATTTGACACACTGATAGGGTTTCTCCCCTGTATGAATTCTCTGATGCTTAGTGAGATTGGAACTCTTCCTGAAGTTCTTTCCACATTCCACGCACTGATATGGTTTCTCCCCTGTATGACTTCTTTGATGCCCACTCCTCATCCGTGAAACGAACAGCGATATCTTCAAAGCACACTGGACCCTAAAAAAAAAAGGAAATGTCTTCCTCTGAGACAGCAGAAATATGATCTGCTACACAATGCTCTGTTGTTTCTTTCCTGTTTAATAATAATAATAATAATAATAATAATAATAATAATAATAATTTATTATTTATACCCCGCCCATCTTGTTGGGTTTCCCCAGCCACTCTGGGCGGCTTCCAACAAAACACTAAAATACAATAAGCTATTAAACATTAAAAGCTTCCCTAAACAGGGCTGCCTTTAGATGTCTTCTAAAAGTTTGGTAGTTATTTTTCTCTTTGACATCTGGTGAGAGGGCGTTCCACAGGGCGGGTGTCACTACCGAGAAGGCCCTGTACCTGGTTCCCTGTAACTTGGCTTCTCGCAGGGAGGGAACCGCCAGAAGGCCCTCAGCACTGGATCTCAGTGTCTGGGAAGAATGATGGAGGTGGAGACGCTCCTTCAAGTATACAGGACCGAGGCCGTTTAGGGCTTTCTTTCTTTTTTATAAGATATTTATTAAGATTTTTTAAAATATTACAGTAAAAATGAAAAAAATAACAAAAATACAAAATAAAAATAGTTAAAAATACACAGAATTTCCATTACTTATTTTCCTTTAGCTTGTTTCCCAGACCTCTTCATACCTCCCTTTTTTGTATTCCACTTCAAATTGTTGGTTCAGCAAATCCTTACCATTAGATTTTAACCTATTTATAACCCCTTTTTCATATTCTCTTAAAGCATTACAGCTGGAAACCACTTAATTTCTATCCAACATCATTCTAACATTCATTAATTTTACAATATTTCTGTAGATAGTCTTTAAATTTCTTCCAATCCTCTTCCACCGACTCTTCTCCCTGGTCTCGGATTCTGCCAGTCATTTCTGCCAATCCCATATAGTCCATCACCTTCGTCTGCCATTCTTCCGAAGTGGGTAAATCTTGTGTCTTCCAATACTTTGCAATGAGTATTCTTGCTGCTGTTGTGGCGTACATAAAAAAAGTTCTATCCTTCTTTGGCACCAATTGGCTGACAATGCCCAGAAGGAAGGCCTCTGGTTTCTTCAGGAAGGTATATTTAAATACCTTTTTCATTTCATTATAGATCATTTCCCAGAAAGCCTTAATCCTTGGGCATGTCCACCAAAGGTGAAAGAATGTACCTTCAGTTTCTTTACATTTCCAACATTTATTATCGGGCAAATGATAGATTTTTGCAAGCTTGACTGGGGTCATGTACCACCTATATATCATCTTCAAAATATTTTCTCTTAAGGCATTGCATGCCGTAAACTTGATACCTGTGGTCCATAACTGTTCCCAGTCAGCAAACATAATGTTATGTCCAACATCTAGTGCCCATTTAATCACAGCAGATTTCACCGTTTCATCCTGAGTATTCCATTTCAGCAGCAAGTTATACATCTTTGACAAAATCTTAGTTTTGGGTTCTAACAATTCTGTTTCTAATTTTGATTTTTCCCCCTGGAAGCCAATTTTCTTGTCCAAATTATATGCCTCCATTATCTGATAATTATTATCAGATAATCGAGGCCGTTTAGGGCTTTCAAGGTCAGCAGAAACACTTTGAATTGTGCTCAGAAACGTTCTGGGAGCCAGTGTAGGTCTTTCAAGACCGGTGTTATATGGTCTCGGTGGCCGCTCCCAGTCACCAGTCTAGCTGACGCATTTTGGATTAGTTGTAGTTTCCGGGTCACCTTCAAAGGTAGCCCCACATAGAGCGCATTGCAGTAGTCCAAGCGAGAGATAACCAGAGCATGCACCACTCTGGAGAGACAGTCTGCGGGCAGGGAGGGTCTCAGCCTGCATACCAGATGGAGCTGATAAACAGCTGCCCTGGACACACAATTGACCTGTGCCCTCATGGACAGCTGCGAGTCCAGAATGACTCCCAGGCTGCGCACCTGGTCCTTCAGGGGCACAGTTACCCCATTCAGGACCAGGGAATCCTCCACACCACGCCTCCTGTCCCCCCAAAAAAGTACTTCTGTCTTGTCAGGATTCAACCTCAATCTGTTAGCCGCCATCCATCCTCCAACCGCCTCTAGACACTCACACAGAAATTTCACCGCCTTCACTGGTTCCGATTTGAAAGAGAGGTAGAGCTGGGTATCATCTGCATACTGATGAACACCCAGCCCAAACACCCTGATGATCTCTCCCAGCGGCTGCATGTAGATGTTGAAAAGCATGGGGGAGAGGACGGAACCCTGAGGCACCCCACAAGTGAGAGCCCAGGGGTCTGAACACTCATCCCCCACCACCACTTTCTGAACACGGCCCAGGAGGAAGTAGTGGAACCACTGTATGACAGTGGCCCCAGCTCCCAGCCCCTCAAGATGGTCCAGAATGATATGGTCGATGGTATCAAACGCCGCTGAGAGATCCAACAGAACTAGGAAACAGCTCTCGCCTTTGTCCCTAGCCCGCCGGAGAACATCGAACCAGTGCAACCAAGGCAGTTTCAGTCCCATGATGAGGCCTGAACTCCGACTGGAAGGGATCCAAATGGTGCACTTCTTCCAGGCGTGCCTGGAGTTGTTCAGCAACCACTCACTCAATCACCTTGCCCAAGGATGGAAGATTTGAGACTGGGCGATAGTTAGCCATATTGGCAGCATCTAAAGATGGTTCTTTAATAAGCGGTTTGATAACCGCCTCTTTCAGTGGGTCTGGGAAGGCTCCCTCACAGAGAGAAGCATTCACGACCCCACGAAGCCCATCTCCCAGCCCTTCCCGGCTAGCTTTTATAAGCCAGGATGGGCAAGAATCAAGGAGACAGGTGGTTGGTTTCACTCGTCCAAGGATCCTGTCCACATCCTCGGAGGTAACAGATTGGAACTGATCCCATGCAACTTGACTAGACAGGACACTAGCACTCTCCTGCCCCGGCCCTGCTCCATGGTGGAGTCTACCTCTTCCTGAATCTGAGCGACTTTATCTGCAAAAAACTTTGCAAAATCATTGCAGGAGATCATGTGGCCCATACTGGGCCCCGATGTAGCAGGTGGTTCCACTAAATTGCGAACCACCTGAAAAAGTCTCCTGCTGCTGTTTTCTGCAGATGCAATAGAGGCGGCGAAGAAAGTCTTATTTGCTGTTGCTACCGCCACTTGGTAGGCTCGACATTGAGCTCTAACCCGTGTCCGGTCAGCTTCAGAATGAGTTATCTATCACCAGAGCTCTAGCCGTCTCAGCGATTGTTTCATTGCCCTCAGATCCGTGGAAAACCACAGGGCTGTCCGGGCTCCATACAATCGAAGAGGGCGCTTCGGAGCCAAACAGTCAATAGCCCTGGTTAACTCCACATTCCAGCGGGCCACCAGGGAATCAGCTGAAAGGCCATCAACATGGGATAAAGCATCTCCTACCACTCTCTGGAAACCATTTGGATCCATTATGTGGCGGGGGCGGACCATCCAAATCAGTCCCACCTCCCTGCAGAGGGGAAGGTTCACGGAGAAGTCCTTTTGCACCAGGAAGTGATCTGACCATGTCACTGCAACCCCCCCTCCCTGCCCACAAGGCCTGGGTTGCTGTGCATAAGAGAAACCTGGTGGGCAAGCAGCGGCAAGGGCAGGCCCATCTGTTTCATCCAACCAAGTCTCTGTTACACATGCCAGATCAAGTCCTCCATCCATGATCAAGTCATGGACGGCAGTGGCTTTATGAATCATTGACCTGGCATTGCACAGCAGCACCTTCAGGTCATGTGGGTATCGCTTGCTGATTCTCGTATCCGTCCAGTCAGGACCAGACCTGGAGGCAGGGATAGTCCTCCAACAACGACTAACCTGCCACCTCTGTAATGACATGGTCTGGTCTTAGCGTAACTCCTCCTCCTAACCCTGATCACTGAGATCGGTTGTCCCAGTGCATCCCCCCCATGGAACATGCCCCAGCTATTTTGTGGGCTGGGACCCACTCCCCGGCAGCCCTGACCCCCCCCCTTAAGAACAAAATAAAACCCTTAAAGAAAAGAAAGAACCCAAAATAAAACAATACAAACAAATAACTGTAAAAATTACAAACACATTAAAATCAAACAAATTCCCAAACCCAACCAAACATCCATCCCACCCCCTACAAAAAAAGTAATCAAAAGGGGGAAAAGAAATTTTTTTTAAAAAATGGCAGTGGCTTTATGAATCATTGACCTGGCATTGCACAGCAGCACCTTCAGGTCATGTTGGTATCGCTTGCTGATTGTAGTATCCATCCAGTCAGGACCCGACCCGGAGGCAGGGATAGTCCTCAAACAACGACTAAACCTGCCTCCTCTGTAATGACATGGTCTGGTCTTAAAATCCATACCACCCCCCACAAAAATAGTAATCAAAAGGGGGGGAAAGAATTTTTTTAAAAGATTTAAAAATTTTAAAAAAACATTTTAAAACATTTTAAAAAGAACATTGCGCCGCTCCGAGTCCTCCTGGCCAGCAGCAGCAGCAACAACCGTCATGAGGCTTCAGGCCCCGCCCTGGGCCAGGTGATGAGTGACAGGAGCAGGGCCCTCAGGCTCTCACACAGCGGAGTTGTTTCAATAGGATTGCTTTGCTGCACATTTTATTTATGGATCCTTATTTTATTATAAGTTTTAATTATGGGTATTTGTCTTTGTGCAAATAGGTGGTACTCCACCTTGTGTTTTTCAAGTCATTCTGCCTATGCAAGCATTCCAGTTTCCCCAATGGAAGGATCCACTTTCTCCTCTCCTCGTGAGCTGTTCTGGGGAGTTCCCTCCCAATGCCCTAGAGCCAAATACCAGGCGTTCATGGGGGCATGGAGAGGGGGAGGAATGTGGGGCAAGCCCCATTTTGCAGTTGATGGGGCTGGTTAGGTGAATCCAGGCCACTATTTGGTCTGATTTGTTCACTGCTTAGAAACCAATCTGAGCATTCAGTGATCAAACTAGAAATAAAATAAGC